AGGAATCTATGCTGCCAACTGCGGTGATTTTCAAGGCGACCGGCCAGAAGGCTAGATAAGGTAATGCCTCGGCAATGGTAAACCCGTCCGAGTTCACGCGGGATCCGACCCGATACGCGCCGATCATTATCTAACGCGCCGCCGCGCCGTATAATGCAATTATTTGCGCCGGTCGTATAACCGGTCTTCGGTCCACATGCAGATAACTGGGCGACGTGACAGCGGTGCATCGAGCGACACACAAGGAAATGCATCTATGTCTCTCACTCTCTCTATATTTCTGGTTAGCATGCCGTAACAAAATTCTTTGTTGCCGTGATAATTGCATCGTGTGAGAGCATATCGCGTATATGTATAACGGAGCATAATATGGAGTATAAATTATTGCGCGCAGAAAAAATGTTCCAAGAATTTTTTTTAGGGGCATATATATATATATATATGAAATTCTTCACTTTATCGTAAAATTTAATATTACAATTGATAGCAGAAATGTGCAGCTCGATAAATTGTTTTAGAATAGTAAGTTTTAGCTTTTTGTTTGAAGAATTTATCTAGAATATTGTTTAATGCACAATTCGGTCAATTATTTTAAAATGGACGACGATCGAGAAACTTGATACTTTTACTTAATTTAACTTCAGATTAAACCCGTGTGAAATATTGTCTGTTGCTTTGTGAGGATGGTTATTACCGCGGACTTGCATGAAAGTTTCAAGTTCAACCTGATTACCGTTGCACCTTGGCATATGCGGCCATCTCATTTAACTCGAATGAGCTCATCCAGTTTTATAGTTTAATCTAGGTAGGTAGTCGCGCGGGAAAGTCGCTTATCTGATTCTCGCTGGATATGCCGATGTCTGATTATTTTTACACCTCACAACTTTCTACTGATCGTGACAAATGACGATAATAAAGTGCGACGACTGGCGATGATAACTAATGGTTCAGATACGATACCATCTGCATTTTAATGAACATCATGTTATGTTAAACCTTTATTATTACGCTATTAGGTACTCATGTCCAATATATATAAGAATAATTGAATATTTCTCTCTCTCTAGTGCTATTTAAACTATCTAACATTTAATTAATATCTCTTAATTAGTTATTTAGCTAATAACTCAATTATATAGACGACATTATTTATTTTCCGAGAAAGCGCAAGTTGATTCCATTTATTAAACTAAATTGCTAATAAGATCTAGCATATATTTATCTTAATTTTCATTATTTTAAACCTTATTTAAAAGAAAAAGTAAAACTGAACTATTTCTGATTTTCTCACTGTTGTAATTTTATCTTTTGCATATTTTATTTCGCTCGAACGTTCTCACTCTTTAAGTATGTTTTCTTTGACTTCAGTTTTTCCGTATATTCCGTATTTTATATTTCCATCGTATATCGCAGGGGGAAACTCTTCCCACACGATACAATAAATGTCTCTCCCTTTCAAATTCTCGTCTCGATGTCGCCGGAGAAAACGTCGAAGCCGCCCTTCGTGGCGCCCAGCAGCGTCGGCGCCGCGCCGCATTTCGCGCCCGCAGCGACACGCGTCCGTCCGTCCGTCCGTCGCGCCGTGCGGTTTGCCACTCGATGCAATTATCCAGGGTGGTTCTTTACCTGCCTGCTCTGAGCTGCCGACCTGCCAGCTTGACTGCCCGTCCGTATGCGTATGTACGGTGTGTCAGGTATACGTGTGCGTGCGTGCACGTGCGCGCGTACGCGCCATGGTGTGCCTTCGAGCAGGTACAAGCTAGAGCAGGTTACTTTCGCCGCCGCTGCCGCCTCTTACACACAGTGTTCTAGTCGTCGCTTACGCGTGCTGCTCCATTCATAAACCTATAGAAACGTGCAGCACGGCACCGGCGCGACTCTGCACGTAGGTGTAGAGGATCGACGGCGAGCTTGCAAAACGATGCGAACGTGTAGGTATAGGAGCCACGTCGTCCTGTCTCTTTCGTTGGATCTTTACCTACGAGTTGGATCGGAAATGTTTCATTTTGACGGAATGTCGATATACTTTCAGTCATATCTAATATATCCCTTGTTACTTGTACATATTTCTATTCTATATCGATTGTATCTGTTTCTACTAGACATTCTTTGCGCTTTTCTGTTGCCGCAATTTATGCGAAAGGAATTACATATTGGAATTATGATTATGAGATCGTAATAAGTAAGAGATTATGTTCTTCTATGAAATTTCCAAATTTCCGCCACGATATCGTTTGTGTAATCGCACGATATTTATTCTGACTGATATTTGTATAGAACAGATATACATATCTAATAGACATATCCTATATACGTATAGAGATATTCTCGTTTAAACTAAGCAGTCGAGCGCGTATAATATTTATTAAGCGCGACGTTTCGTAATCTTTCAATTATCATCCAAGCATCATACCGCTCTCTCATTGTCAGTGGAAATCGCATTATATAAGGCGATTCAAAATTCGGTTAGTAAACTTTGAGAACATGTAGAGATATTATCGCTTTATGTGGAAAATATTTTACGAAGCGGAATAAAATCGTATTTAATTGCAAGATATATCACAGACTTTTGCAAAATATGACATTATTGTAAATTTCAGTCCAGTCTACATCTCAATAAAGAAATAACATATACTTTTGTATAGCGTGTTTTATTCGATACGGATTCTCTTACGTTTCCTCGAAGATCGCTTATTCAAGCGTAAATCAGTCCGCATAAAGGGACAGCGTGCAAGTTCGTAGCATCTTTAAACGATCACCGATCGGATCGCCGATGATTTAGGATCACGATCGATAAGGCAATCGCCGTAGACGCCTCTGGCGAGCTTTATTGGTACGTCGTCGGTCGTCGAGGACTCCGTCCCGCGATGAAACGGTCTGACAGCGATAGATCGATCGATCCGTAGATCAATAGCCGCGCTGCTCCGAACCCGACGTCCATCGGATGTGCTACGTGCAAACGCGCGGCGGCCAATAAGACGAAAAACCGTAAATACACCGGCCATTTGCGCGTGCTGTATCTTTCCTATTAATGTCGATCATACATCCGAGAATGAAAAACTATAATTCTCCCGCAATTCGATTTGTAATTTGATACAATTTCTTATTAGCTATATTCTACAAAACAATTATTTTAAATATATTTTAATATACACATATATTTGCAGATTGATAATAGATTTTTATATATAATCGTGTTTATAAATTTATAAACGAGATTAAAAATGTTATGCCCCTATGATTTAGGTTACTTTGACAATACACGTTTCGTTTTTAGTTTTCATTTTACTTAATTAAAGTGCGTTGCCTTTACGGTTCGTTGTACCGATGTATAGTTTGAGGTCGAGTGGTCATAGAACTGTCTCGTTCGATAATTATGTTCAAAGTTTAAAGTATAGCTGAAACCATATATACTATATAAAGTTTCAATAAAACTTCGTGACGACTTGTCACGGTACGAAGTATATTTTATTGGTCGCAGTCGCTATATACTTTGTTGATGAGACGAATTCGCTGCGAAAGCATGCTAACAAAGATACAAATATAGCAACGTGCTCTTTATTTGCGTCGTCTGCAACACGTATGCATATTTATTATCCGAGCTATAATTATTTTTTAACTTTGGAAAAACATTTGGTAAACACAATAGTAATCATTTCCTGTTTACCATTGAAGATATTTTAAGAAATCAGTTTCGAATTTCTATTAATAATATTTACGAAGTAATATGTTGGTTCAAAGAAAAATATAGGGAAATTATAATACGTAATTTGGAGAATTTTGTTATATTTTATTATTTCTTAAATGTTAATGATAGCTCAAATTGTTAAGTAACAGATATCGAAAACAAACGTTTTAATAAATCAAATTTCAGTGGTGTAACAAGTTTTACTTCTAAATTAAGTTAGAAATAACTTATTTTTAATGGAAATTAAATTTTTGAAAGTAGGTAAATTTTAAAATAATTAATATCAAAAGTTTAAATACTATTATTATTACAGACTTTCCTTTAAAATTTTTAAAGGAAAATGAATGCAACATTTCTTCAGAGAATTACCCCTTCAGCCTTTTGTTTCTATTCACCAAGACATCTCGAGATCTAGATGCTGTTATAATCATTTGTCGATCGATCGATCAATCGGGAGATGATCGTGATGGGAATGGTGCGAGTATCTTCGAGAACTACGGTGTACTCTATTTCCGCTATTAGCGCTAATCGATTATACCGTGACGGATCGAATGATTTAAATAAAGACCGGGTGCGTCACGGGTCTGGCCTAGTACACTCGACCGCGCCCCACAAAATGATGCCGTTGCATTTGCCCACTCTATTATCCGATCCGCTACGTTTTTCCCGGTGACACGATCACTCATACTAGATCCTCGAAACAAAATAATGGAGGTCGACACTTCCGCCTTGGTAAAGCAGCGCGCTGATTTGAGCACTTTCTCTTGGAGAGGTCTTTTGTTCAGTTGCACGAAGCGTAGCTTACGAATTCTGAAAATAATTGTATCGTTATCTTTTATATAGTTAAGTTTCAACGAGACGAAATTCGTACAGATTGCATATTATAAGAGATAATAACAAGTGAATTTTCAAATGTACTCCAATAGTAATCATTAGTTACATTAGTAACGATATTAGAAATTATCATGATTATATTTGATTAATTTTTAAATACGAGTGCTTGCTAACTGTTGAAACCAATACAGTTAAAGTAGAAATCACTGTATTCATATATCGAGTTTGTTCCTGTAAGTAGTATTCTTCGGAACGTCAAATGCGTACAATTAGAAGCAGCGACGTTTGTGAAATTCGATGCCGATTCGGAACGAGAATAATCTCTATTTCGGGTCTCCGCGGGTTCTCGTCCTAAATCTGCGTCGTTCCGCTACAAAGGCGACCAGAATTATGATTTCCGCGACGCGTATAGTTACGTTTTCCAGTTTCGTCAAGCGGCAATTTCTAATGCGGACGACGACGCATTTGTATGTTGCAGGTGACCGGAGCCGAACGGGCCAGTATTCATGCCAGTATACCAATCGAATGCCGGTAGACCAATATATTCGCCGTCACCGATAGCCAATTAATAAGTTACTTAGATAGATCAATTAGTAGTCAATAATATTGTACCGGCGAAGAGAGGTCACGCCGGTTAATCGCGACTGTATAACGAATTGGAAATGCGAACGCGCATTTTTTCCCGTACGCTCGCGTAAGCAATAAGGATCGCGTTTCGCGGGTAAACACGCACGCTTTATCGCACTTCTATCAACGACAATAATTTCTAACGCGCTGTTCCTCTGTCCGCGTCGTCGTCGAATTCGACAGAGGCAGGTAAAAGAGAGAGAGAGAGAGAGAGAGAGAGAAAAAAAAGGGGAAATCTCCAGTGTGCGTGATCGCGTTAATCGTGAAGTGATATTGGACTGTTTTTCGCGCGACTGTGGAGTGCGACGAAGGACAGTCTGCGACGCAGAAGTGGATGCGGACACCACCCCGGCGATCATCACGGTGGCTGGAAACGCTGACTTACATCGGGAGCGCCAACGTGCAATCAAGGTTCATGGTTTTCATGGTGAGTCACGGCATCTATTTCTAGCCTTTTGCCTTAACGTTCTTTTTTCGTTGTAATCCTCTTCCCTGCTTTGCGCCGCGTGGTCCTCACCCCCCGCCCGGCTTCTTTCCATTCCGAATACTGAATCGGTCGGAGCCGCGTCCGTCTCCGTCCGGTCAATGCCACGTGGAATCAATTGGCCGCGTCTCTCCCTTCGCAATTAAGTTCTCACGTTGGAGGGACAACTTCGTGAACGAGCTATCGCGCTTCGTGAACGAGCTTTTCTGTTAACCAAGTTGTCAAGTTTTTCGCGAATTTCTGTATTTCTTTTGCGAATTATCATCGTAAGTTGTAACATTGAACTTTTTGTATGATATATATCGATTTGGAATTGGTTGTATAATTATATCTATTTATATGACTTTTTACAAAATTCAATATTTTTTTATTATGTAATATTGAATAATATTGAAATTTTTTTTCGGGAAAAAAATTCTCAGAAAGTAATCTTTAGAAAAAATGTAGTAGGAAAATTGCAATTATAAATTCAATTATCTTTGTTTGATGATTTCTCCGCACGGTAGCACGGTCGATAATCGTTTGACATTCCCATGCGAACGGACTTGCCAATCAAGCGGAACGAATATGCGAGCCCATGAAACTACCGTGAATTCGTGCCTCGAGCCACAGAGTTTATTTCTGCCCTCATTGAATGCCTACTTTACGCGTTCGTAACGTTCCATTTTGTACGGACGCCACCCAGAATCGATCGCGCGGTTTCATCGCGACAAATGAGCGCGTATACTCGCGCGCATTTTAAATCCCGCCTTTATCGAGTATCGACGCGCTTGCAAATACACGATGCGCGCCGAGCGCGATTTGCATAATTCTCGCGCCGCGCCGGTCCGCCTCCGCGCGCCGTCTCGTTATCTTTACGCGCGCATCGTATCGTGTCGCATCTCCGGCGACGCGACGAGAAACGGTTGGATATTAAAATTATACGCACCGTCGCGATATCGGTGAGCGGTGAGATCGAACCGTAAATACGTACGTAACAGGACTACCGACGTTACCCTTCGTCCGCCTCTTCCCGTTGTCTCTCTCGCACCGGTTTTATATTCCTCCAGACTGCCTCGGGGCCCCTCTATTTTAAGCACCGCAACGCACACTCATTGGGTCAGTGCCTCTGTACGGCCGATTCCGTACGTTTCTTCCCGCGCTGTATTTCATCGTAAGACCATTCGATAATGAGCACCGCCGTCGTCGCGCGTAGCACGTGTCACGCGCGATTTGCATAATTGCTCGTCGACTTCTCTTAGTCGCCGTGCGCCGCCTCATTATCTTTATACTCGTCATATTGCGCCTGAACGCGGCGAATCGTCGAGACGTCGAACTTAACGCTTCGAGCCGAGGCTCTCCGGACGTTTTGAAACGACGCGACTCGGAAAGCCAGAAATCGCGTTGACGCGCAAATATTTTCGCGCGGAAAGAGCCTCAGTGTCGTCGTTCACTACCGCCTGCTTTTCGCGGCTCGTTTATTTCCGTTTTATTTAATTATCGTAACGTTCGCGTTTCCCTCGAGCCACTCGAACGGCTCTCCTAATGAACGGATATCATGCGAACTCGGACTCGGATCGAGAAATTTTATTAGCGCGTGTACAAAGGTCGCGAGATTTTGCGGAATGTAATTCACATCGTGCGCGACACCGCGTTATCTTTATGTTTGCGTTATCGTGTTTACATCGAGCTGGCGCGAACGCGCCATCGCATTTCCGCATTCGTCTCCAAGTATTTGGAAGATTTTGCCTCGTGAAATGAGATATACATAACAATTTGCATTCCAATTAGGAATCTTTTTCGGCAATTTATTTTATTTAAAGAATTCCCGCGTAATCTTACGACGCAAACGCAATGAAATATAGACTGAAAGTGTAAAAAAACACTGTAAGTACCAAAAATATGTTTAAGCTGACGCTTATTTCCTTCTTGTATTAAAATTGCCCGTTTATTTTTTTACTGCTTATACCTCACTCTTATATTTCACTGCACCTCGCCTTCATTCTCCATCCAGATAATTCATCTCCGCTCGCAACAGCCGGATGATTTGCTGGCGCGAAGATTTCGATGCGAGAGTCTGCGGCGTGTTACGCAAATTAGTTAACGTGACCGGACGTAACCCCGATGTTATTTATCCCTTACAGTGAGAGAGAGCCCTGGTGGGCTAATTAAGAAAAAAAGCCGGATAAGGATCGATTCCGTCGAGAGGCGATCCGCGTGCGCGATCTTGCCTGGGTATTTCAGTCGAGATTATTTCGAGGGAGAAAGAAGGAGGGTTCACGGGAAAGGGACAGGATTGGGGCGAGAAGGACGAGGAGAGACGTTGCGAGAGAAGACCCACCGCCAGGTTACGGGTCAGCCGCAGTGGAGCATTAATAATCGTTTACAATCTTTAAGGCAGGGTGTGGCGAGTGCGTTCACCCTCGTCTTCCTCTTCTTCCTCCTCCTCTTCCGCCTCTTTTTCCTGCGCACTCTTTTTCTTCTCTTCCTTCGCACAGTGCGAACGAAGCGGGAAGAAAAGATCTGATTTACCTTTGTAAATGATTACGTTCTAGAAAAATTTAATATATTTTTTCGTTAATATGAGATATTCTCCTATCGAAAACAGGGTATTATATATATGAACATTATTACCATAAACTTGTATAAAATATGAACAAATCTCTCTATAAAAAATTAAATAAAATATAAAAATTTTAATATATAATAAGAATAAAAACACAATAAGTAAGAAAAGGATAGACAAAAAAAATGGAAGTTATATCTTGAAATAGAGATGATATCATTGTATCTTCTATAAATTTTTCCTTGCAACCATATCTTAACGAGTTAAAATTGATAAAAATAAAATTGAAATAAATATACATTATAACGGAGTAATCGAAATAACTGCGAGGTTTGCACTTGACAAGTTCTTTCGATTTAATGATCCTAGATTGCGCGAAGTGGTGATGTTTACTGTTACAAAGCTGCAATTTCGTGCCTTTTGCATTTCATTCGCGTTTCCTCGCTTAGTAGTTTACGTCCGTAATTGCGAGGTGTGTCGATACTTAGGAAACATTGTAAGGTTCGCAGCATCAGCATGCCAGTGGGTATCAATTTACGATCAGCTCGGTGCATTTAGGTGTATCAGCTGTTTAGTTTCGGAACTGCGAAGTGCTAGAAACTAGGAATTAACATTATCGTCGGAAAAACTCGATAAACCGATATACATCCGGGAGTCACGGATTTTGCGAGTCTTGTTTCGATCTCCGTCGAATAAAACACACGTTCTTGCTTATATTTGTACTCCGTGCCAATTATTTTAGGAATATAATTTATGTAGAAATATTAAATGTGTCGATTATGTTCCTTGCTTCTCTCGATTAACAATTTTTTTATCCAATTAACTATGTAAAATAAAATTCGAAGCAATAGAGAAACTTATCGTTTTCTTGTCGACACTTTATAAAAGTACCTTTCTTAAAATATTACACCCGATTTGGGCAGGTCGTAAAGTGATTTTACTCGTGATTGCTTTTATGCCCTGTGCAACAAAGTTAATTCTCATCGAATCATTGAACGGGCAACCATCGAAAAATTCGTTGCGGTAGGCGATAAGGTATTTTTTCGTGCGTTATTAACGACGGTGATAAATATGCGCGAGTGGCAACTCCGTTCTTTTCAAGAGTGCGACGAATCGGCGATCGGGTTCTCGACACGCCAGGCACGAAAAAAAGCATCTCCGAGGAACCTGTTTTATTATATCGGCCGCGCGAATCCACGTTATTTCGTGAAAATTGTTGGTTATCTCGAAAATGTATAATATATATTGTGTGGTTTCGTGTTCTTTCACAAAAAGTACTCTGTATTTTAATAACTTATTAAACTTTAACTTATTTTGTGCGAATATAAAATCTGTACTTTCTATACAGATATTATCGCAGTCAGATAGTGAATAATTTCTTATCGTACCTTGACTTACAAACTCAGATTAGAAATCTCTCATTGTACGATCGAATTTATTTATTATGTCTCAAAGAGATAGAAGTTTAGAGACGAATACAGCTTTATTGCAATATTAGACGATATAATTTCAAACTTTTTTTTTACATTAAATAATTAATTTTTAAAGAGGAAGAGAGAGAGCACGAGAGTTCAAAAATTTCTCATGAAATCATAACTTCCGATGTTCCGGCTGTGCAGCACAGCGTTATTAACGGCGGTGATAAATACACGCGTTTTGATTCTTGGGATGTGGATCCCTTTTCTTCCCGGCTTTTTTTTTCCTTCCTCGCGAGAGCGACGAATCGACAAGAGGCAGCCCTCCCGGGAACCCGTTCTTCCAAGACACGCGTGCAATTCGGTTGTCCCGGTTGAAAATCGGTCGTCGGCCTTCCTCCCCTCTGAATGACCTACCATCACCGTGGCGGTCATCTCTCGCCATCGTCGCCACCTGCAGCGTGGAATCAGCATATTTAGCATCCGGTCCAATTTAATAGACACGCGGTGCATCGCGCGCTTGTGTTCGCGAGACGCATTAATAACGTCGCGGTGCATAATACACGTGCCATGGCGACGTCTGGAAACGCCGCTATCGAAACTCGATACGAGACACGTCGTTTACATATTATAGTGAGAGCTGTCGAGATGTCGAGACGATGCTGTAACAATTATGATATGTATCACAATGGTGGAGATTGAAATTTAGTCACAGTTAGTTTAGTTAGTCCAGTTACAAATTAAAAGAAATTTATATTATATATATATGGAGGAGTAAAAACCACAGTGCGGTGTAAGTCAATTTTTTTTAAATATTTGACTTACAACACCACTATGGTTTTTACCCCTCCATATATAATTAAAAACATTTTTTTTTACTATTTTCCGTTCAATTACTTAAAAATAGCTAATTTAATCAATTAATTTTTACAAGGGTACATTGTTTTACATTACTTAACAAGATTGTCTTCGTTTTTTGGCCG